CATTTCTTTCAAAATTCATGTTGAAGATGTATTATTTGAGAATTATTCACATTTTAAATTTAAGGTTGATCTTTTAAAAATATAAAGCTTTTAAAAAATTGAAATTCAGGTGGTACATTCAACTGTTACTTATTTAGATCAGAGTTAAGTAGAACTGGATGTTATAAAAATGAAGTTCTGAAGCCTATCACTTACTGTTATTGTTACCTTAGGCAAATTATGTAGGTTGGCTAAGCCTCAGTTTTAATTTTTTTTACTTTAGTCATTTTTTAATCTATACATTAGAGAAAGCAGTTTTTAATCTCACAAGATTGAAAATAGATGACATTATGCTAAGAAACTTGCCTGTCACATACTAAGAGGTAAAAAACTATTCATGACAATAGTGACATTCATGATCCCAGCATATGATTTTTGTCTTGTACATTTCACTTTTTTTTTTTTTTTTGGTACCGGGGACTGAACTCATGACCTCGCTCTTGCCAGGCAGGCGCTGTGCTGCTGAGCTAAATCCCCAGCCCTTGTCCTGTACATTTCAAAAAGATTACAGATGGTCCTATGCATCTCCCACCAATGTCCTTCAGTTATCTAAATCTTATTAGATGAAACACCAACTACTCTTCTATATCTCTTTCAATGACACTATCATTAACCCAGGAGTCTTCTGTTAGGCTTTTAGTCTGTTTTTGTTTTCATGCCCTGTATTAAAGTCCTACAAGCTGTATCTTCAATATATTCTGCATTCTACTACTTCTCACAGGCCTGTCACTGCCACACCTGTCCAAGCCAGCATCATCTTTATGCTGCAAAACACAAACAAACAAACAAACAAACCCTCTTGATATAGCTCTCTATGTCCATGCCTGACATCCAGTCTGACTTCTACTCAGCTGTCAAGAGTCTTTACAGTGTACATCAGGAAATGTCACGTTCCTACTCAAAACCCCTCAGCAGTTTCCTATCACACCTTGACAAATCCAAACCCACTTACTGTCTAAAAGACCCGAAGTGATCAGTGTTATGCTGACTTTCTCTCCCAGGCCTTCCCTCCTAACTCAGCTCCAGCCAGACCAGTCTTTGATATATGATAAAAAAGGCGAGCTTGCAGAACACTCCTTTGCCTGGGGAACGCACCCCTGCCTGGCCAATGTATCACACCTTCGGGGAACATCCCCCATCTGTGGGGACAGCCCTCTCCCTGCAGGGAACACACCTCTGCTTCCACAGCTTTCACCCAGCTAATCCTCCCGCATGTGGGTTCCTTCCGCAGGTGGCCATGTAGTTCCCCTGCTCACCTCTTTAATCAAATATCAGGCTTTTCTTGATCACCTGTCAAAAGTACACCACCATATAGGTCTTTTATACTTTTTTTCATGGCACTGTCACTTACTATACATCTGTGCATTTATGTGTATGCGTGTAAATTTGTTTATAGTCCATTTCCCAACATATACATAAACTTTATGACAGTGAGGACTCTGTTGTGTGTTGTGGTCATTGTTGGGTACTCATTGTCAAAAGAAAAAAAGATAATAGAAGGACAAAACAGAATCAAAGCTTTGTAAACAAGGAGGGCAAGAGGAGATGAAGGAAGATGAGGGCATGGGGGAAAAAAGAGGAATCAGGGTATATTATGTACAGGTGCAGCTTCCCTATATGAAGGGGATCATTATGTATATCTCAATTGAAACAAAAACTTAACTAAAAATAAAGGAAAATGGAAAAGAAAAACAATAGTGTTTCAGAAACAGATGTATGTGCCAGTGGGACAGAACAGAGGAGGCAACAGAAGACAGGACACAGAAATAACCCAGGACATTCAGCTATCTGATCTTTGATAAAGGGGCCAAAAACATAAACTGGAGGACACAGCTTTTTTAAACAAATGTGCTAGGAAAAGTAATTAACCACATGAGGAACAATGAATACACACTTTATCCCTCATGTGGTACTAAAAATAGCAAAATAGATTGAAGATCTTGACATTAAAACAGAAACAGTGACTCTGTGGAAGATAAAATAAGTAAAACTCTTGAAGATAGGCAAAGACAAGGACTTTCTCCACAGAACCTCAACTGCACAACAAATAACTGCAAGAATCAATAAACAGGATTGCAACAAATTAAAAAGGTTTGCATAGCAAAGGAAACAATAGAATGAAAACACAATCTAGAGACTGGCAAAAAAATTTCACCAGATATTTTTCAGATAGAGGGCTAATATCTAGAATACGTAAAGAACTAAAAAAAATTATACTTCTCAAAATAAAAGGCACTTCTCAGAAGAGCAAATGGCCAATAAGTAAATTAAAAAAATGTTCAGCATCTTTGGCCATGAAAGAAGTACATATCAAAATGCTGAAATTTCATCCTACTCTACGAAGAACAGCTTTCACCACAAACTCAAAGCACAGGAAATGCTAGTGAGGCTGTGGGGGAAAAGGGACCTTTCCACAGTGTTGATGGGAATGTAAATTAGTACAACCAATAGGGAAATCAATGTAGAGAGCCCTCACAAAATTAAAAACAGATATTCCATTTGACCCAATTACACCTCTTCTGGGTATCTTCCCAGAAGATTTAAAGACATCATATTAAAGTGATACGTGCAAACTCAAGTTTACAGCAGCACTACTCACAATAGCTGTCTTGGAAATAGCCTAAATGTCCATCAACAGATGAATGGATAAAACGAATGTGGTTTTTACACACAATGGTGTACTTCTCAATCCTGAAGAAGGATACATTTGAGTCATATGCAGAAAAATGGATGCACCTTAAAACCATAATATTAAGGAAAATGAATCAGACATAGAAAGTTAAATATTGCATGGCTTCCCTTATAAGACAGGAAATAGGGAGGTAGACCTTCCACAGATGGGCGGGGGCTAAGTGAAAAAGCCCAAGATGTGAAAGGATATGTTCCTACTTCCCACAGTGAATGCATTCATTATGTATTGCAAACCTGTACTAATAAAGAAAGTTTTGACAACTTGTAGGTATTAAAGAAATACTTTTTTTAATACATGGAGTTTTCCTTGTGCAAAAACTGACTTAGCCAACTACTCCAAACATTACTTAAGTAATTTCTAAATCAAAACCAGTACATATAGAAGTTACACAGAACTAATTCTTTTAGTATCCTTTATGGTTGGTACAGGCCTTATAAATCTGAGTTTAAAAACAGCGGTCATAAACTTTTTATTTTATTCAGGAAACTTAGTGGAATATTTTATTCAGGAATTCTGCTAGCAGTCTTACAGAAAAACCTTTCTTTCACCACAGTGCTAGAAAAAATGAGTACTAAAAACAGCAACAAAAGTTTCTGCATTTACAGCAATCTCTTGTAATCAATGAAAATAGAAAAAAGTTTTCCCTGGTTTTATTACTGCATGGTCTTGTACAAAGAAATTGTTCTACAAGCTAAACTTGTTTTGAGGCTAAAAGGAAAAAACACATCAAGAGTATCAGTGAGCTGAATTAATTCCCTCTCTCAATTGTTTCAGAAAAGTTAGAAACTAGCTCTAATTTAAACAGCTGAATATTTGAGTCTTAGACTTACCATAAAAATAAATTTGCTTTAACCTACAGTATGTTTAATTACAGATACTATGAGTCATAAAATATAATTTAACAACATCATAAAAGTGTTGGATCCAATAATACAGAGTATGAATAAATTTATAGTAGGTAATTCTCAGAACTTGGATCCCTTTATCTGTGTCTTCTTATGGTACTTGGTGCTTTTTAGTAAACACTGGGTAAATGTAATTGTGAATATGTATTTGGAGAATTCTAAATGCGCACAACTACTGCTTTTTATATAATATCCTAGCAAAAAAGGAGAGACAGCTAAGTCTATAAAAGTGGTCAGTGTAGACTCTATGTTGCTTCCCTGTTTTTACCAGAACCTTAATAAAGCTATCATTTGTACAAACATTGCTTAGTACCTGTATTTTTCTTCTCTAAATGAAATTGCACGCAATATGGATTGAATGAGGTTTCACAGAAACTCAGCATTTCCCAAAAGTGAGGCCCAATAAACATATTTTGAAACAATGAATTTAGGGCTGTGCCATGTCATAATTTGAAAATGAGCAGGTCACCTTTCTGGATGAGTTTACCAGTCATTTACATCTTTCTAGAACTCAACAATTTGCTTTATACTGATTTTAAGGGACACATGTTTTCACAGGCATCTTACAATTCAGAGTGAGAGCCAAGCTTTTGGCTTGTTTGGGATATACTGAGGGAGGAGGAATTATCTTGGCCCCCACAGACAATATATAATCTAGTTAAATTACATAAGTAATAAAACTTCCTTTTTTTTTTTTAAACTTATTGTAGCATCTCTAGTACTAGGGATGTTGTATGTATAATTATAACAATATGATGAGCAAAATATGGTTTGGCATATTTTTGTACTATTATTTTTAAGTTCTTAAATTCTTTTACAAAATAGCACACATTCAAGTTTAATAATTAAATAAGGAAACTCATATGTCTGCCTAATAACAATAAACACACACCTTCACAGGCGCATACCCATGTAGGTTGGTTAACACACTATTATGGGTAACTGCTGTGTTTTGCTTGCCAAACTCACACAAGCACAGGTGACGTCTGATACACCGTGGGCTGTGGGTGGGAGGCAGCACAGATCTGCGCGCTTCCCTGCAGAGCATTCCATCGCCACCTATGCAGTCCACGCTGGAGCGTGTTCAACTCATGAAAAACACTGCTAAAAGCCATTTCAACACATTGTTACAAGTTTACGATCCTGTGGCACGGGCAAAACTAGCTGTCCAGCAAGCAGCCCACAGGCTACAGACTGAACTTTCGGTCTAAGGGTTATGCCCAGTTGAATTAGAAGTATTTTTTCCCCCGAGTATTACATAAAATAACATTATTTTAGTAAATGCTGATAATTTCCAATTAGTGAACTATAGCTGCTATTATTTCCATCTTAATATAGAAAATATAAAAACTCTAAGTACTTACATCAATTAAATCTGAGAGATCATGAATATAATACTTGAAAACCGAGGCATTGGTTGCTTCAAGTGTTAGGAGATACTCATTCCGTGCCTTAATGGATTTTAGCTTATTTTCTGAATACTTAGCTTGTCTCTGAAAATGAAAAAGATCTGGTATTGGCAAAGATAGTAAAATCATTTAAAAATAAGACAGAAACATGCATTTATTTTTATTAATCGAGCAATGTATTCCACATATACAAATGACCCTTGAAGTGTTCTGTGAAAAGTACATTTGAAACTGATTTAAATAACAAACTAAAATTACCCAGCTAGGGAGAATAACAATGTAGTTGGTTGGGCTTCAGGCCCATTTACAACGAAAGCTCTTTGTTAATATTCAAGTTCTCCACATTTATACTGAATATTTGGCGTTCAACACTAAATGATGGCCAGCTGTTACTACATGATTTTTATAGGTCTCAAGCATTTTTCATTCCCATAGGAGGAAGTGCATGTCTTTTCATAATAATTTACAATGCATGTCTCTAAGCTATTTATTGCATATGTTTTTAGTACTGTACTGTCTCCTCAAATGAGGACAGAAGGGTTTTTCGATACACTTTTTACTTACCTTTTCTTTCATTTTTTCAATTTTCTTTACAGAGCTTCGTCGCTGATGTCTTTCTTCTAGCCTAATATGGAAAACTGGATCCCCAGATCTTCCAATTTGCTTCTCCTCCTGTTTCTCAGCCTCTTTCAGCTTGCTCTCTGCACTGATGCTTTCCGCATGATACATATGGTATGTTTTCATCACCTGTGACAAAGTGATCCACATTGTTAAAAGACGTCTGCCTGTAACTTATATAGTGAAGGGGAATCATCATGTGATATGTGTGGTAAAAATATCACCTTCCGACTAGCAAAGAAAGTCAGATTGCAGGTAAAAGAGAAGAATTATGGCCTATTGTTTCTACATAATGCAAAAAAATATGCAAATTTACCTACCAGGAGAAGGTAGTTAGGGGATAGGCTTTGATGAAAAAATGATTTACTGAATCCTATGCATATTTTTCAATGTACTTGAAAAGTTTTCTTAAGCTTAAGTATCTATAAAATCTCCTCTGCACTATTAATTTGCAGTCTAAACTATTTATCCATGGATAAGTGTTAGTCCAACTGAAATTCCATACCAGTAGAGTTCTTACTAAAGGAAATTTATTGTACAAAAGCCACTTGCCAAAATACTAAATGTAAATATTAAGGTTTATAAATAGTTTTAGTTTTTTTAAAATTGTTTTTCTGACTGCAAAGTCATACTTCATATCCAAGCAGAAAACAAATGATAAAAAAAGAAAATAAAAAATAATACCACTATTAAGATTTGGTATCTACTTTTTCAATATTTTTCCTACGAAAGTACACAGCATACACATAACAGACACACACACACACATTCATACTTCATTGTATAAAATGCCATGACATCATTTCTCCCTTTAAAAAAAAAACTAGTATCATTGTATGTACACAATTTTAATGACCTTTTCCATTTTAATATATAAGAACAATTTCCTGTATCACTAAATATTCCATAAAATATAATTTGAAGGGTTTTATAGTATTTCTCAAGATGATGATGTAATTATTTAATCAACTCCATATTATTAAATATTTTAGGGTTATATCATTGTTTTGCTTTATAATTAAGCAGTGTTGAAGCTGTTCATGTATATCTTATCTTTTTTCTCTGTTTAGAAATGGTGTATTTAATTGCTGTTTTAGTAAAGTATGGAACATAGCATTTTATAATATATCTTTCCATGTATATTATAAACTTATATAATGAATTCTCAGTTTTTTTAAAAAATTGGTTATAGCATTGTACAAAAATATTTGTGCACAAAATTGTGTCATATTTCCTAGGATAAATTTCTAGAATTTCAATTTTGGGGTTACAGAATACACATTTTTGTGGCTTTGAAAAACAATGTCAATTTTACACTGTTAATTAAAAATAAAACAAAACCAAACTGATCTGTACAGTCATCTCTTAATGTACTCCTGATAGCATACTCAATATCTTCTCAAATAAGGAATAAAGACACTGAACACTTACTTTTGTAGTAATTGCTACATTTAATTTTGTGGTTTTATGTATAGAAGAATAACAGGTACAGATTTTCAGAATTTTACCTGACAACCATAGCCTTATAATAAAATTCCAATGTGCTGTGAACTGCAGAGGTAGTCATCTGGAAAATTCTGAAACCTGTGTATTTTGTGCACAAAATACTTCGCAGAGAAATAACATACATAAGTATGATACTCCAGTACAACTGGTATATCAAGGAACACACTAGAACTTGGTGCCCAGGCCTAAACTTTGGGGTGCTAGTCTTTTCTCACATGTGATGTCACACTGTCATTCACAGAAGAGAGATTTTTACTGCAGATGCCCAAAAGTTATTCAGATTCAGTTTTATAACTAAAGGATAGTTTTTGTGAAGCTGAGATTATGGTAATGTTTTTATGTAATGAATTTTTTTCTCATTTCAAAGGTAAATTTTAAAATAGTTTGAAAGTATCACAGGAATGAATCTATTTATTAAGTTAAATACAGATTACAAAATAAGGTAGAAAATATCTTTTCTTAAATCGGGTCCCTCAAATTCAAAGACCCAATCCAAAATGGGAACCTGAGAGGACTATACACTGCAGATGAAGAAACACAAAAGGCAAACAAGTATGTGAAAAAATGTTCAACATCACTGGTCATTCAAGAGATACAAATTAAAACAATGCTGACATTCCATCTCAGCCCAAAAGAATGGCTATTATCAAGAAATCAAGCAACAATAAATGTTGGAGGGACTGTGGGGATAAAGCAAACCTTCTCCACTGGTGGGGAACTGTAGACTGATGCAATCACTGTGGAAATCAGTGTAGAGATTCCTCTAAAAAGTAGGCTTAGAAGTCCTATTTGACCCAGCGATCCCCTTCTGGATATTTTCTCAGAAGAATTAAAAACATCATACTGCAGCGATAAATGTACACTAATATGTGCACTCCCAGCAGCACAATTTGTGATAGCTAAACCTTGGAAACTCAAATGTCATCAACTGAGGAACAGATATAAAATGTGTTCTTTTTAAATATATATATATATATATATATATATATATATATATAGAGAGAGAGAGAGAGAGAGAGAGAGTAGTACTCAGTCATAAAGAATGATACACTTGTGACTTTTATAGGTAAATGGATGCAACTCACGATCATACTCATAAGGGAAATAAATCAGAATCACATGTGCAAACTTTGTGTCACTTAGTGTGAAAAGCTAAATGAGTAAATAAGATCCAAAATGTACAACAGATTTGGTGAATTGGGAAGAAACTGTTCAAAAGAAAAGAAAAACTGTGATGGAGGAACAGGAAAAAGAAGGAAGGAAAAAAGGAAAAAAATATATATATATATACACATGACAGCTAAGATAGTTATACAGCTAGTTTCTTCACTGAAAAGAAAGGTTTGTGCCAATATTGCTGGGCAATATTTCATGCCTATACCTTGCACTCAGAATAACTACTATGAAGATAACGATATGCAATGTATTATATTATTGTGATTCTCTTATTAGCCTGTTTTGAAACTTTTATTTCTATTCTTTTCATTTTAAAAAATTCTTTGTTATAGTTCAGTGGCACATTTTGAAGATAACTATTTTGAAGGGTAAAATACGAGACCAGTGAAGAGAGCCTTTTACTTATTTCATTATAACCTGATAATGTCCTTCTAACACTGAGCAAGAACTGATTAAAGACTAAACGACAAAATAGTTGCAGTTTTTTCTGGGCATGTGCCACTGGAAAGTTATCTGTTTTTAATAATTATTGAACCTATGGGGGAAGTTTGGTTGGCAACTCCAGTTTAAAAGAAAAATAAAATAGCACTAGGAAGCAGCTGGGCAGCTGAGGAATGAGAAGGGAGTCACCCGGCAGCTGGGCAAACAGCAAGGTCAATGAATCTACTACACCACTTGCATTGCTAGCTTGGTTCTGTTTATGTTCCCTGCCTGAAGCAAACCACGTACCATTCAGGTCCTCGTTCAGTTATACCTTAAAGACAGGTTGAAAAAGCCCAAATGCATACCCAGGCCCTACTCACTGAGTTTCTTTGCTGTTAGTATTCCTCTTGCTAATAAATAGCCAGGGAGGCAGAAAGCGGACTTCCACCACACTTGGATGCAAAAACATTGCACACAGCCCTGGATCTCTCAGAAATATTTCTTTTCAATTCATCAGAAAGAAAAGACCTGTCCTTCTGACTCTTGTTTTACTTGAAACTGAGGGTTACTGTAAGCAGGTAATGTGAATAAGCTAAACCTTGGAATAAGAGAAATACACCAAGCTGACTGCCAGTATAGTATTTCTTATTAAACAGTCCAAGTTAAAAGGAAAATATTAGAGTCTGAACACTCACATGCAAAGGATTTAATTTCTCACAATGGAGTTCAGCACAATAGTGAAAGATTCTCTACTTAGTTTAGCGCTAACTGCCAGAGAATAAATTTATTTGTTCAGTTTTCCAACTTGATTTTGCATTTCCACTCTTCTTTCAAGTCTTAAAAGTTACAATAAGTGAACTTTAAAACTTCAGCAAAAAATTATGAAATCTTTTTGTTCTAACTGAGGGATACTGATTTCAAGTAGGAATTGCATTATTTAAATGTATACTGTTGACAGTTCGTCTTTCTATTTAAAATAAAACAACAGCTCTTTTTTTGCAGTGAAAAAAGCTTTTATTTACAATGGTGCATTTTGATTATATACTATAAAATAACAGCTTCTCCCTCAAACACAAGTCTTTACATATCAGTTAGTAAGACAGATATATAGCCATTGAAATATAGTAAGTAGTATATTTTCCTATTTGAAATCTTCAATATTAAAACTTCATTATAAACCCCATTCAAAAGACTCAATTTATCTTTATCCAACTACAGGAAAAATATAATCAAGTAGAAAGTGACCCATTTCTACTTGTAGGGCTGGGAATTCCTATATAATCACTTTTGTGCAGAAGCTGTGGATATTTTTTTTCTTACTGTAAGACCTGTATCATGTCTGACACTACTCTTATACTTTAAATCAAAATAATTACAATATATGTAGTAAATTTCATTACTCAATGTTAAAAATTACTATGAATGTAAAAAAATATGTGTTGGAGAAGCTCAGTGGTGTGACTTTTAGGTTAGGAGTTAGAAGATACAGATCACAGGAATGGATCTACAGTCACTCAGTGTGAGGAAGTTGCTTAATGCCTCTGCTTACCTTATGACATTATTGTGGATACTAAATTGTGTGTCCATAACTTTACTGAGTACTTCCTTTGTATGTGTATATCTAAGTATGCCATATATAATCACACCCACAGATACACAGTATGCGTACTATCCATTAAACATTGCCTTAGCATTTACAAATAATTTATTTAATCCTTGTGAGGTAGATATTTTCCCATTTCACAGATGAAAGTTAAATAATTGGCTCAAGGGCACACAGCTGTTAACCGACAGAACAGTGGTTGGAATCCAGAGAATCTGGCTCCAGATGAAGTGCTCTGGACTGCTGTGCCATAATCTTTAAAGTCTGAAATATTATACAATTGGAAGGCCTCTTCATCTAGGGAATACAATTACTCTTGGTTATAGGAGGCAAAAGAAAATAAAAGATAATCACACTTAGCAATTGTAGATCCATTCCTGTGATCAACATTTGCTTGGTGCTTCCTGCCTGTAAGGCATTG